CCTGGAGGTTGTGTGTTCGATTCTCACACAAACCAATTTTTTTTTTTCTTTTTTTTTTAAGGCAGTTTAGTTGATGGTGAATAATGAATAGCAAAACCTGGTGGTTGTGTGTTCGATTCTCACACGAACCAATTTTTTTTTTAAGGCAGTTTAGTTGATGGTGGATAATGAATAACAAAACCTGGTGGTTGTGTGTTCGATTCCCACACGAACCATTTTTTTTTTAAGGCATTCTAGTTGATGGTGGATAATGAATAGCAAACCTGGTGGTTGTGTGTTCGATTCCCACACAAACCAATTTTTTAAATTTTTTTTTTTGGCACGACATCGGTAAACGTTTGAAATTTACAACTTCTAACCAACGTGGCCCAACTGTTGTCACCAACCTCCACTAACGTTTACCGACGTCGGGCCAACAAAGTACTATGACGTTGCGACGTCTTTAATTACATTTAATATTTACAACCTCTAACCAACGTCGGGCCAACGGTTTTAACCAACCATCATTACAAACGTTGAGACAACGTCTACAATCACATCTAATATTTACAACCTTTAGACAACGTTGAGCCAACGGTTGTACTAAACCTTCTTTTTAGTAGTTTGCCGACGTCGGGCCAGTAACAAATCGTAACGTTGTACCACCGTCCGACCAAATTTTGCAACCAAACAAGAACGTCGTACCAACGTCAGATATGCGACCGCAACGCTTACCTACCTAGCCTTAGTAGGCCAGGCCTAGTCCTATCTCATGATAGGTTCTCCTCTCCTTGGAATGCCATCTTTGAAGTGCTGAATATTCTGAGATTCTGTATAAATCACATCCTGGCCTAAAGTATTAGTTTATAATTAAAGCCAGACTGCTACTAGTCCGTTATGTATGGTAAACTAGGCCTAGTTTTAGCAAGGGTCTGAGTCGACGATGTACGAGTAAAATTGTCGCTCCACTGGCCGGCAAATGATAAATCAGCATACTAGGCCTGGCTATAAAACGGAAAATACTCGAATAAAACGTCAAAACGAATTTTCATTTAGCGTGAGAATAACAATAATTAATAATACTATCTAATACTGTAGTATGGTAACACATGGAAATCAGTAGCTCACCTAGGCCTAAAATTGTTAAATTTAGTGAAATCAAACATGGTCTACCTGCAAAGAACTTACTTTTGTTTGTCATCGCACATTTTAAAAAAAACCATGGAGGCAGGTACCTAACAAAACATAGGATCCGCTGTGTGTCCAGTAATTTTCGTAACATTCGTAACCGCCTGCATTTGTAACCTTTCGCATTTTATCGGAAATATTCGCAAGATTAATTATGAGCGTTGATTGGTAGTTGGCTCGTGATCAAAGGTGTTGACTGGTACCAAGATTCACAGTCACTTACCTCGGCAAACTATTCAATGACATAGTAGCCACTTTCAGTAGCCACAAAAATTGAGTTGCTTACGTATTCTTTATTCCATGAATGGATAACCCCAAAGAGGAAGGGGCCTCCCTGGGAAAAATTTGATCACTAAATGGCAGGAAATGAGCTTTCCCAACTTCTGAGTTGACTTTAAGTTCTTTAAATTTTAAGGTTTTCCTCCGCTTGACAACGGTCGGGTAAACTTCTCATTCTTATTACTGTAAATACTAGTAGCCCTACTATGTGTGTATGTACAGTACATAACAAAAATTGAGTCGCTGCTTACATATTCTTTTTTCAATAAATCGATGAACCCCAAATAAGGCGGTGGTCGGGGGTCCTCCCCAGGAAAATTTTGGTTCTTAGATGGGACCACCCAAAAGTGGTCCCAAAAGACCACTTTTGGGACTATGGACTTTTGCAGCCTTGGTCTCTAATTAGAATAATAAAGATAAAAGACATTTGTTAATGGACCACAGAAAAGTGGTCTTTAATTGGAGGTGGTTTTTAATTAGAGGGGTATAATCTAATCTATTTATACTGGATCAATCAATATAATTAAATAAGATTGCAATATCTAATGAGACACAGGACAAATAGGGCAACACTCCTCTCCCACTAAATTTACCCTTTTCTTTCTAAATTAACCTTAGATTTTTAGACTGAGTGCATTTAAAAAAAAAAAAGAGTAATTTATAGGTTTTCAGGCCACTACTATATTTTTGTGTGCACTTAAGAATGGTAGGAAATTCAATTTCATGAGACCCTGACAGCACGGATTGTTTTCAATGACGATCTGCTCAGTCTTCCACCAATGATCAGTGCACTGGTGATGCATCATACAAGCCCTCACACAAAGCGTGGACATATTTTTTAGTTAAGGCTCGACCGAAGCAGTGTGCGCCAGGCTCCAAAAGGAAGAACACCTGAACAATTTCTCCCTCAACAACCATGATTTTACACCATCTACAGATTTGTTCATTACCTGGCCAAACAGATGACCCCAGTTCATTCTGATCAATATGATGTAGTAAAGTCTGCATCCAATTCGTGGAAACACATCTAGAGGGTTATGGCAGGTGTTGTTTCGACTTCTGTTAATCATACATGAAACATCTTTACTGAAGCAATCAAATAATATTGAATGCATTGCAAAACTGACATGTTCTTTTTCTGCTTGACTTGATGGATATTCTAGGCCAGCAACAATTTCGTTCAGAGCAGTAACAAGCGTGTCTGCAACTTCTTTCCTTGTATCATCTTGGCAGAAATCACCAAGGCTAGCATCTCCTGGACTGGCATCACCAAGGCTTGTAATGCTTGATCTGACAACATTGGGTATATGTTTCCTGGCAAGCTGAAATGCTGCCTCCAAAACAGCAACTTCTTTAGTGTATTGCATGACCCTACAAGAGTAAACAAAAGAAAATTAAATTGTTCAGTGGTAATTTCCTAATTATACAACAATCATTAACATGCACTGTAGTCTAAACAATGTACTGTATGTTTGAAATACTGGATATTCTAGGTCTATATAGAATAGAACACAATTCAGTTCACCTCATGAAATATTCTTCTATTCTAGGCCTACCCCATATATTGCAACAAAACATTCATTTGTATACTGTAATACTAAAAACTAAATCAATTTTAGATAGCATATTCGAGGCTCCTTTTCCTCGACCCAGGTCTGCCCATATATACATACCCCTAAGTAATCCTCTAGGTCTAGGCCTCTATTTACCAGCCAGGCCTAAACAGGCTTCCATCCCATCATCATCAGGAGCCAAGAAGTAGCTTTGCTAGCACGCAGCAAGCATTTCTTCACACTCATGAGCCTAGCCTGGCTGAGGGCCTAGCTAGCACCAATACTACTGAACCACCTACTATTTTAATAAATAAAGGTTAATTTGAAGTTATAGTTCAGTTATATTTTCACCATCCACGAAAACATGCTAATCTTTAACTTATAATTTATCTAGCCTAAGACAGAATAAACGTTTCCCTTACGAACCCCGAACATGCGTCTAATGTTTACAACTTACAAGGTCATCTCTTTTTAGCAGAAACAGCAGAGAGCTTTATGAACATTATGCATTTATATACCCTGGATTGCTAGATTACTCATGCATATTGTAAAGCAAGTAGGACTTCGCTAAACTTCAAAATGAGAAGTAGTCCTCCTCTGGGACCACCAATAAAAATATTATACTATAATTATGTTATATAAATTTAATTTAATATTAGTGAATCACCAGCTGGTCGAAATTGGTGGAGAGAAAAAATCAAACATAGAATTAATAATAAATCATATTAAATTAAAGCAAAAGGAAAATATATTAGATTCACTCTTATTTTTTTTTAAATTGATGAGGGAGGGCGGTTTTTTTTATTTTTAAAAAATTTGAACAACAGATTATTTCGCTTTTGTTTTTATCGATGAGGGAGGGACTGTTTATATTTGGTCTGTAATAGTAAATATTGTATAAAAACTGGCTTAATTTTATAGTTTTTAAAAAAAATGTATTTTGAAGTCACAAAATTGCATTGTTATTTTTATTCTGTTGGAACAATTGATGCTGCAAAAAATTTTTTTTTCCATTCCAGCATCAATATTTCTCGAATTTTTGACGCAGGCGGGAGTGATAATTTAATAATTTTATTTTATTTGCTGTTATTTTCAATTACTAGCTTGATATTTACCACGCTTATTACTTATAGTAATCATTTTTGTAGCTTTTCAATGGGAAAATTGCCTCATTTGCAAAATGGCAAACCGTTTTTGCAATTTTTATGAAAAAAACCATGTTTCATATGTATAATTTTTAATCCAATGACCAGATTAATAATTTGAAACCTAACGAAACATTTATAATCATTTGTATGTAAATGCTTCCAAAGTCATACTGTAAGACACCATTCCCCAACCTATGGGTTGCGACCTAATGTTTAGGTCACAGAAGAACTTTGATGGGTCACATCAGATCATAGAAATTTTACTCAATACGAAGACAAAAGGAAATCAAAAGTACAGTAAATAAACATGCACGAAAGTGTGGCATATGCATTTGTAGTGCGTGCTTTATCAATAGTTTCATTTTCAATAAAAATACACTATAAAAGCAATTGTACTTCAGGTATGACCAAAAGTTTTAGTTTTGTTTATTTCAATGCATTTGACTTTCAGGTGAAAATTATAACATTTTTCTGATCAATTGAATGTGTATACTTGTCTTCCAATAACCAATATAATTCTGGCAGCAAATTTAAGAATTTTTGTTACAAAACATCTGTTAATTATTATTTCGATCTGTAACTTTGAAAACTATGTAGTTCTGTTATACGAGTAATTCAAATATTTTGTGGGCGATTTGAAATATCTTCATGAATGAAGTGGTACCTTTTAATTGGTTGACAAAAGAATCAAGGTTGACATAGGTTCTTCTGATTTTCGCTATTCCACGCATATAAAATGACAGATATGGTTTATTGACTTAATAACTTAAAGTAAAAAAAAATGATACAATATTTAATAATTTTACAATGAAATTCCAGTGATAAATTTGGCCTTTCGGATCTGAGTGCTTAATATTCAATTTTGGCTGTGGGATAAAAATGTTGCAGAATGGAAGCCTATAATTATTCATTTATTTTAACATTGATATCTTTTTTAACAGTTTTAAACATTTCCGATCTCTAATGTTAAAAATTATCTAGGTTTAAGTTTTGTTTCTTGATTCTTTGTTCTTGGTGTGGTTGCTGTTAATTAAGGATTTACTTTTTAATGTCCTGACTGTTTTTCCGTATTTTTAGAGTTCATACTATATTTTTTATGTCCATCCTGTAAGTGGCGATTTTTCGCTGTTGGTTTTGGAAATAAAAAAAAAAAAAAAATTAAATAAAAAAAAAAAAATTATATATAAGATACAATTCAGCCAAATCACCTAACACATCATTATAAAACTGATATACACCTTCAAATAGTATGATACAATACGAAACAATACTCCTTTATTGTCATTTTAACAACATAGTAAAAATGAAATTAGTGTTGATTGATCCGATAGGCAAAGACAGTAATACGTGCACTTCAGAAATATAAAAAGAATGAATAAAAAGAAAGAAATGAGAGAATCATATGGGTGAGTGGGGATCTCAGGATCAAGAAGAATGACCCACCAGCTGAAAAGAAAAGGTGACAGCGCTGCCCTGAGTCTGAAAAACAACCAGACACTAACACTGTTAGCCCAGACAGAATGAAGGAAATCGCAGCAAAAATTTTAGTAAATACAAATTATAAAAAAATCAAAATTGCTACATCTCTCATTTATATGAAATGTTTACAGTGTACAGTTGAACTTGCCTAAGTCGAATTCAAAATGACATTGAAAAATTGTTTGACTTTGATGAAATTGGACTTACAGATTGTTAAATAAATTATGGAAAACACAACAATTTGGCACGCAAATTAAGATCGACTTAGAAATTATTTTACTTAGGCGAAGTCGACTTAGGCAAGTTTAACTGTATACAGTAACTTTGATGCATCATGTACATTTAATACTATACATATAATTATTGATAAGTCATGTCTATTAAATCAAGTTATACAACACCAGTAATACATATTTTCATTAAATTTATTCTTCATGTCTCGTACATGTGGAGTGAGTACCACATAGACCCACCCCTCAAAAAACCTAAACAGTTTGTGCTCTAATCGACTGTTTAATAAAAAGAAAATACCTAACTGGATAAGTAATCAAATCTTGTACAATACAGTATATCAGTTATTTCACTGAACATTTTACATACAATATTTGTTTTAAATACTTCTAACATACTTAAAAAAGTTAAATATATTCTGAATATTTTCAACTAAATCAATTCAACATACAGGGGCGGATCCAGAAATGTCCAAAAGGGGGGGGCCGAAAGTTGGGCCAATTGAGACAACACTGTCGTAGGGGTCCGGGGCATGCCCCCGCGAAATTGTTGTGTTCTAGACGCCCGAACATAACATTTGAGGCATTCTGGGCTATCATTTTTTTCTTTTTCTCTCTTTTTTTTTTCCTCTCAAAAGGAGGGGCCGGGGCCGGGCCGCCCCCCCCCCTAAATCCGCCCCTGACATACATGTTCCACCAGTGGTACACATGGGAAGGCACCTTGGTTTAGAGATATGGTATAATCCCACTTAAGGGAAAAAACTTTTATTTTCAGTGGCAGTGTAGCTTTAAGGTGTCGTCTATTATTGAACTTTCTTAACAATTAAAATCTATTAGTAAAAAAATGTGATTTAAAATCATGTAGAAAATCAAATTTATGCTGCAGGGCTTCTAATATAAGCACTGCTAAGCTACACCAATCAAATCTCAAATGTGGTAAGAAAAACTGGCCTCATCACACCATGTGTAGTTGTAGATACGACATAAAAATGTAGGCCTACAAGTTATAGTCAACAGAAGAGATGGGAATATCAAAGACAGAATTTTAAGTACAGTTACAAGGTGCCCAGGCAACTAGCAACATAGTTAGGACATAAAATTACAGCACCTGGAGGGGGTCTGGGATTCATTATATAAGTACGGTATTATTATTTCTATTGTCAGTTGCTTACAATTTCTTTCTTTATTCATTTATCCACATATCATAATATAATAAAAGAAAATATAATATTATAAAATAAATTAACAATAAGGCCAAAAAAAAAAAAAAATTCTTGTGTTGGCCACATTTTGGGAAAATCCAAAAAATGGGTAGGTCAGTAGGAAAAGTTAAAAAAAAAAAATTTTTTTTTACCAAAAACTGTTTATGCCTAAAAAGTAGAAAATACACAAAAATACAACAAAGACCATTTTAAAATCTATACTGAAGAGTAAAGCGATCGCACAACACTGTCGCATTGCCTACTGTCGCAAGATAGGCTTATTCCAGCCTTTACAGCTCATTAAAAAAAAATTTTTTTAAATGCCGACTCTCAATTTCGAGCATTATTGGTCGGTTGGGCGTGGCCAACACAATAATTTTTTTTATTTGGCCTAATGAATAAATCAGAACTAAATAGCACATTAGCTTGTGCAGTCTAGCCCCAGACTAGACAGGGGTCCTAAGACCTGCATGGAGCAATTGACAATGAATATTGCACAGGGTAAGTGCAATGCAAAGTATTAATATTAATCACAGCATTTATTTACAATGATTTTGAAAATTAGCAATTATATACAGAATAATAATGACTTCATGAATATTTGATAAGTTTAATGACCAATCTTTACTGGATGCAATTATACAATCCAATATTTTGTAACAGCATATAGTGAACACGAATCACACCTTTATTGGATACGTACATCTGTATAATTATATTACATCTATGCCTATAATAAGGAATTGGTGCCCCTTCGTTAAAAGAATTCTGGATCTGGCCCTGTTCTGTACAAAACTACAACTTACTGTATACACTCTGCTTTGTATCGTTCAGACATAGAGAATGCTACTATTCATTATAATTCATTCTAATTCATTTTCTGTTAATGTGTTACATTACAGCATCCAGTGGGCATTAGCCTTTGCTACAAAAATGCTATATACACTTATAATTACATTTTATTTGAATATACTAGCTGCATTTTGGTTCAACACACAATTATCAAGTTTGTAATTCCCAGAATAAGTTAAACATTCTATATCAGTTAACACTAAAACTTTACTGAATGACTTAGAATAAAAATAACTAATAATGTCATAGAAAGAAAAACATCTATTGGTAATATTTAAATGCTTGAAAAGAATTGTGGCCATCATAATACGTAACACACAGTATTAATTATTAATCACGTTAATGTACATGTACTTAGTAATAAATCAAATACCTTGGTGAAGCAAAATATAAACTTCCAAAACAAATTTAAACCCATCTCAATGAATCTGTAATTAATTTAAATTTAGTGATTTTATTTTTTGTGATCCACTTGAGACATTAGTGCAGTGCCGCTAAAAGCACTTTAACAATGAAATAAATACATAAAATAAATAAGAATTTACAAATTACATTTTATTTGATGAAAGCTCTAAATAAGCAATACAGTAGTACAATATGACCTGAATTAATTGACATTTAAATGAAGGGAGAAGAAATTTCATTTCAATCATTACTTTCTAATTTTATAAATAAAATATTAAAAAGCAAAATTTGTTTCAATCTGAAACTGAACACTTTTTTCAGCTGACAACTTCTTGTAATACAATTCTGTCACCATTTAAGTGCAGCATGAAATTGCATTACAGCACTGTGCCTAGCATTTTTCAAATACCAGTACAAAGGTAATTTTTACAGCTTCCATACTTCAAAGTTTTACTACAGTATTTTAACAATTTGATATATATTGCGGGCAAAGAATTTCCTTTTAAAGGACAAAATAAATGTAAGAGGTTAAAATGTAAAAAATATTATTTTTTCATTAATATAGACAATGATTCCTTATACCTTGTTTTGTGAACTTTATTTTTGAAGCATTTTCAGAGACAGCGAAAAAAAAACCCCCATTTCCTACCACCCGCTATTCCGCAAAACGGTTCTACCAAAAGCATCTAGGTGGAGAATTAAATAAAAATATTATTTTACTCTAAAAATGGGATTGTTTGAGGTAAAAATTAATTGAGGGTGCCTTTTGCGTTGTTATTGAATGCGAAAAAAAACAAAAACAAAAAAAAACAAAAAAAACAACAAATTGGACTGAAAAATGCCTTAAAATCTATTTCATTTCATAGAAAAAGAAATAGTAGTAGTAGTAGTAGTAGTGTATTAGAATGGAATTTAACAGAAACTGAAATTTTAGTATCGCTCTGCCATCATCAAGACAACCAAAGAAGTCCAGCCAGTAAATGGATGTGTCCCTTGACCTTTGCCATTTACATCACTGTAGTGTTCCCACACATATCCTGACATGTCATATTGCTTCAGAATATTAGTAATCAAATTCTGTCTAAGCTCCTGGTAAAGTTGCCAGGCTGCATCACTGTGGGGACCTTCTGTATTACTATAGTGATAGAGAGCACGTACAGCTAAAAAGTTCATGTTAATCCAGATAGTTCCTCGCCAATATGGTGGATCATGTTCTGTGTTGTACTTCATGTACAATGGGTCAGATTTTGACAGGGATCTTAGACCATATTTGGTCCAAAGAAGATTAGGATCTTTAATATCCATCAGTACCTTTCCTAACTTATCAGAGTCTGGTTTAAGTACCTGAAGTAAGAACGGAAATAAGCTAACATAACCAAGAGTATCTACAAACATTTCTTTTGGCGGTGTCCCCTTTACTATTCGAACCTTAGGCATTTTTGGAGGCGGTGGAATCCTTTTACCAGGCTGCGGCTTTGGTGGAGGTGGCGGTTGTGTTCTTTGAAGGAAAACTGCCTTAGTATGATTGCCAAAATCACTGTACATCTTCTTAGATGGGGACCAATGAAGTTTGTCTAAAAGAGCATTGTCAGTCAGCAAATCATAAGTAGCTTTATACTCTGTACTTGGGTCTCCTACCTCTTTTGCAAGATCAGCCATTATTCCAGATGCAAGAGCCATCCAGCATCGCAAGTCAATGTGCCTTTCGCTATTGGAGGGATGTGATGCCCGTGGAAAATCATCGAGTCCAGATGTCAAAGTCTTTGGATTCAATTCTCGGTCTGTTGTTGGATCTCTGCCCCTCCAACGATAAGAAGATTTAACTGGCCCAGACTGTGTAGTATTGTACCAGTTGTACCAAACTTTTAAACGAGGATATATTCTTGAAATAAATTGCCTACTTGATTCTGCTTTAGAATCAATAGTTCTTAGGATTGACTGAATGGACAGAAAAAGTGTTGGAGGGTTGGCATTCTCATTATTTTGCACAACAAATTCATCCGGTACTTTACTGCGTGCTTCTTCACCTAAAATCTGTTCACGTGGAATCCATCCTTCAATATTCATCAAGTCCAGCCAATGACCGATTATATCCATACTGATATCTGGATTCCATTGACTGATCAACAGGTTATGAAATCCCTCATCCCAAAGAAATCCTCTTGGAAAGAAAGAGCGAGATGGCACAGCTGTGTACAAAGCACTTTCCCAATAATCAACCGGCTTTCCAGTGTATCGAGACTTCACAATTGAACTCCCATAAAAGTATCCAATCCCACCAATCAGGTTGCTGAGTATGGCTTTTGAGATTTTCATCTCCTTCAAACTATAACCTTTTTTAACCAATCCAAATTTTGTATCAAAATCTTGATCATACTTGGTTCGATATCTTATTAATTCTTGACTGAATACAGAGCCTGAGAGCTGATTAGGTCTCTGGATGAAACTTGCCGATTCAAAGACAACTTCTACTTCAAAAGGTAAAGGAAGCGTAACCTGATGCACCATAAAATTTGGTTTGAAATCTGTCACCTGATTTTTTTCAAGCACGTCTCCCACAAGTCCAATAATTTGTTTGCCACCTTTAAATGGATATGAACGAAGACCAGTCCTTGTCACAACATCTTTTAATACATGTATACTAGGTGAGTATGTACTTAAAAAATGGGTTGATATAGTGCTTTTTGAATTCAAAAACTTCAGGGAAAATTGCCCGAGCTCATTGGTAACACCATGGATTTCTTGCAGATAACTGCCACCGTTAGTCTTGTACTGCATACTGCCGTCCCCATCTAATGCCGCATAAAATAAGACAGAGACCACTGATGCATTACTCTTCCTTGTCTGAAATTTAGAAAGCACAGAATGTATCAATCATTAACATAGCCATAACATTTTCATTAATCTGGCACTTTAGAAAGCCAGTGCAGTGGTAGATCCAGGAAATCGAAATAGAGGACCCACCAGAGAGAAACTTTCACAGATAGAGGGTCAAGACCACCTCATCCCACCATGCATGGTAAAAATTATTATGATTATGGCCAAAAATCGCACTTTCAGAAACATAATTCCTTTTTTCTCCATTTGTCTTATATATGGTGTGGGAGGGGGGTTGCATCCTACGTTCTCTGCATACATAAACTTGGCCAAATTTTGTCCTAGATTCAACGCGACTGGGAGAACTCAAGATTCTTGCATTCACAGATGACTTTTTGTGACATCATTACGTTCTATGTCCTCCCGTCGTCGTGCAAACGAAAGCTCCCTACTACTAATGTTGCTGCAACGTGCAATTTTGTGCCATTTCCTGACATAACGGGAGACTCTTTTTATAAACCTTGTTTAGCGAACCCACCGCCAGCCAATAATGATTATTTGGAATAAAAATACAATTTTATTTTTGGCCAATTAGCACACCCACCGCCACTAAGAAAATAGAAATTTCAGAAAAAAAAAAGTTTTTCTTTATTTTTATTGTGCCCGCCGCTGCCTCGAAATCTCCAAAAATAAGATATGTAAATATTTCTTCATATTAATTATATAAAATTTAAACCATAACCATCCCATTACTACACTATTTACATTCATCAATAAAATTTTATTTTATTTTCTCCTCCATCTGGATGTTTATGGCAAAACTATTTGCTAAATAAGAAAACAACATTTTATTTATTATTTTTTTCCGCTCTTCTCTGACGATCTTTAAAAAGAAAAGTTCGCGAAACAAGGTAGAAAAAAGTCTCGTCTAACTACAATACAATGTTTGCCTGGGTAGTATTTAATTATTTATGGGACTGGTTTATGACGAAGTCTTACAGTGTTCTTTCCGGATATCCTCACAGACCAATCACCTCCATGGTCGCCACCGGGACGCTTTACAAATTCTGTCATTAATGTGAATTCTTTCTCAACAATTTCTTGCACTCCAAAATTAACACCATCATGCATCAGCCACCCATATTTAGGTAATTCATCCGAATGTTCGCAACTGTGTCGAACAGCAAAATTTTTTCTGGTTGCAAATTGTTTGAACCACATCAAGCCAGTAACCAATGAATTTGGGCTTCTTGTCCGCATGCCAAAATAGACTCCAGGGCGATACGTTCCCCAAAATCTATCATTACTGCCTTTTTGAGATCCCAACATATGTTTGTTATTATTTTTACTATTGCCAATAACCTTTGGCACATTCAATGGAGTTGATACCATAGCAGCAAGCTGATATGTGTACCACGTGTAAAACACTATCGACAGTATGCCCAAGATAAGAACTACGAAGATCAATGATCGGATGTTTGACTTGGCTGACAAGGTGCCCTTCTGTTTCGATGACCTGTGTTGCGAAATACCACCCTCGTTTATACAGCCATTATTTACGTTATTTACGGAAGTATCCTCAGTTTTCTTCGATCCAGATGGGCCTTGAACATGCCTCTTCCTCGCCATCTCTGTTCCAACACTCGCAGAAAAATTGTCGATAATATTTGTTTCTATTAATTCATTATTACTGTCTAATTCTTGTAAATTTTCAGCATTGATATTCCCGGAACTACCTGTGTTCCAATCACTTTGCGGTTCTTCAAAATGGGTACACGAAATACCCTCAGATTCACTCAACTCAGTACCAAAATTACTCGGTCGACTTTCATCCAATACGTCGATATTTTCTGTCGACGTGGACTGCCAATGCAGCCCGTACGGGCTTTTAACAGCGTTCATTGCCGGGCTTTCATGCGTTCACTCAAACACAAAAAAAGGAGCCTAGGCCTACCTAATTCTACGTGGTACGAGCGAATATCTATTCGAGCGGATGGCAGTCGAGCGTGTATCAGGTCGAGCGGATGAAATCGAACCACTATTGCGGATACCAACTGGGCGTTTCCTACTACTGTAGTACGAATGATATTCACAAGCGAGTCGTATCGATCATGGAGCCCCAGCACACACACTGAAAAGGAAGACAGTACTTAAAAAAAAAAAAAAAATCAACAGATACGTGCAGTGGCACCTCACAAGGCTCAGCATTATTTTATTATTTATTTAGTTATTTATTAGTACATACAATAGTTGACAACAGTATAAGAGATGACAATTTAGACTAGATTTAATATTAACAAATTAATTATATTAAAACAGAAAAATTATCTGAATTTTTTTTTTTTTTTTTTTTTTTAAGAATAACGAATAAAAATAAGGAGTAAAAAATTGTTGGTTTCCCTCCAGCGCCCGCCCCTAGCTCACGGAAAAATAGGGGCGGCGTTTAAAAAAAAATTTGGGTTTTTTTCGATTTTTTGTTCACAAATTTTGAAAAAAATGATCTTTATTTTTATCCATTTTGCACATGAAAGTTGTCTAAATTTGTTGGTCCATCATCTATAAATATAATTAATTACCTGGATTTTAACATTCTGGCTGCGTTAAAATAGGCCCTGTCTCTTATACACATCTGATGTGTATAAGAGACAGATTATATCCATACTGATATCTGGATTCCATTGACTGATCAACAGGTTATGAAATCCCTCATCCCAAAGAAATCCTCATGCGTTTTATTAGATGTGTATAAGAGACAGATTTACGGAAGTATCCTCAGTTTTCTTCGATCCAGATGGGCCTTGAACATGCCTCTTCCTCGCCATCTCTGTTCCAACACTCGCAGAAAAATTGTCGATAATATTTGTTTCTATTAATTCATTATTACTGTCTAATTCTTGTAAATTTTCAGCATTGATATTCCCGGAACTACCTGTGTTCCAATCACTTTGCGGTTCTTCAAAATGGGTACACGAAATACCCTCAGATTCACTCAACTCAGTACCAAAATTACTCGGTCGACTTTCATCCAATACGTCGATATTTTCTGTCGACGTGGACTGCCAATGCAGCCCGTACGGGCTTTTAACAGCGTTCATTGCCGGGCTTTCATGCGTTCACTCAAACACAAAAAAAGGAGCCTAGGCCTACCTAATTCTACGTGGTACGAGCGAATATCTATTCGAGCGGATGGCAGTCGAGCGTGTATCAGGTCGAGCGGATGAAATCGAACCACTATTGCGGATACCAACTGGGCGATTCCTACTACTGTAGTACGAATGATATTCACAAGCGAGTCGTATTGATCATGGAGCCCCAGCACACACACTGAAAAGGAAGACAGTACTTAAAAAAAAAAAAAATCAACAGATACGTGCAGTGGCACCTCACAAGGCTCAGCATTATTTTATTATTTATTTAGTTATTTATTAGTACATACAATAGAAGACAACAGTATAAGAGATGACAATTTAGACTAGATTTAATATTAACAAATTAATTATATTAAAACAGAAAAATTATCTGAATTTTTTTTTTTTTTTTTTTTTTTAAAGAATAACGAATAAAAATAAGGAGTAAAAAATTGTTTGTTTCCCTCCAGCGCCCGCCCCTAGCTCACGGAAAAATAGGGGCGGCGTTTTTAAAAAAAATTTGGTTTTTTTTCGATTTTTTGTTCACAAATTTTAAAAAGTGATCTTTATTTTTATCCATTTTGCACATGAAAGTTGTCTAAATTTGTTGGTCCATCATCTATAAATATAATTAATTACCTGGATTTTAACATTCTGGCTGCGTTAAAATAGGCCTGTAAGGCCCGTTATAATAGGCCTATTTTATCAAAAGAAGCCAAACAAACTTTGATATCGGTAACTGTAACAGTTTGATGAGAAGAACATTCGGGAGCTACTTTCGTTTGAGGCTTTTATGATTATTACATGCACAACAGTGGTTTCATAATGAAGTTGCTAATCAACATGAGTTTTTATTTTTTTATTTTTTAGGTTTTCAGGTAAAAAGTTCCTTCCTGATGATATTCCGAATATAGAACAATATTTTAAATGATGACCTTAAAGTTTTTGCTTATGTTGGCAATGATTTCCCATTTAAAACACCGGACCCCTATTAAGGGAATATCAATTTTGTTTTATTTTATCAACAAATACATCTCAAAATACTATTTAATTAATTATTTTTATTTAAAGACTTTGGAGCCATAAACACAACATTAAACTAGAATCTATTTGATTATTATAGTTACAAATTAGCTTAGTTCCATTGTAACTCGTTCTTAGGTCAATTAAGCTAACATTGTTTCACTCAAATCAGCTCTTAAAGACCCCAGTATTAAAGACCACTTCCAATTAAAAAACACTTTCTGCCGGGTTCCAAATTAACAAATATGTGTTTCATCTTTATTATTCTAAATAGAGACCAAAGCTGGTAAAGACCATGGAAGCACCAGTCCTGAAAGTGGTCTTCTATTCATGAGAGAATGAAAATGAGGGAGGACCGACATGCGTTTTGTTGTTCGTACAAGTGTAGCCTCTCATTCGAAAATAGCATGTGGACGACTTTTCAGCTTTGATTAATAGCGCCACCATAGTTTTCTAAATGCTTAAGATCAGAATGATGTAGTTTAATTTAACACACGACGTTATTCATACGAATATACTCATCTTGATTGCAAGGCTTTAGGCACATAAGCACATTTTGACCATTGCCGGTAAACAAATGATCGACCAAAGAAAAATATATTTCTCGTCATTTTCTCTTTCCTTATTATACACTCACTCCGTCACAGTATGGTAAACTGCACAGCATATCTACTACGCATAGGCCTAGGCCTAGTAATTATTAATGCATTCTGGAGATTGAAATGATAACATTGGTTAGGGAGCTAGGTCTTGGCTCCTGCTCAGACTCTACCTTACTTGTTGACTGGCTCTCTCTAGGCCTTGGGCCCTACCTTACCTAGCCGGGGTGGGGGGGGGGGGGGGGGGGGGGAGCCTAGGCCAAGCGTAGGGCCTGGCTAGGGCAGGGGGCTACACGTAGTCTAGGTGGGCGAGAAGGACTCAAGTAGGCTCTAGCTAGTTGTACGTAGAGGAGGGCCTAGCCTAGCTAGGCAGGTGCAGGCCCTATCTATAGTAGCTAGTACTTTGTAGAGCCTAGTAGTAGAAGGGAATTCAGTAGAAGTAGCTAGCGGCCTATCTTTTGGCCCTACACAGCCTATAGTCTAGAGCCGAGCAGTGTATAATCGGCTGCAGACATATTCGGCTGCCTGCAGGCAAATACGGCCGCGGACAAGTTTTGGCCATTGGCCTCGAAGCAATGTATAGAACACATTTTTTATTGTTTTCTGCAGTCAATTCGTTTAAGTTGACCACTCGTATTCCGCAGTTGGGACCTGACATTGAGGAATAAAAACTTTTAGTGCACATGACATGGGCATCGGAAATGACATAAAAAGAAACAAAAACGTGTAAGAAAAATAAGCTTGGTGTGAGTAAAACTTGACTTAAGTTTTTGAAGGGACCTCTTGAACTCCTGGAAGGATTGTTCAATGAGGGCTCTGTCTCAGGAGAGATTATTCCACCAAACATGGAAGAACCTTCATGCACCAACAAATGGTGCATGGAAAGAATGAGTGATGATACAGAGCATGGCAATGGTTAGAACTTACAGTACGTGCATGATATTGTCTTGTTTGAGAAGGTTTCATTTTGAGTAGGCAATTCTGTAGGGATGTTGTTGAGCTGATAACTGATTTTGAACAAGAGACTGAGGCTAGCGTCTTGTTGCCTTTTTTCAAACTTTGCCAGTGAAGTTAATTTATCATCAATGTTGCGCAATCATAGTGGTTAGCACAAGTCTGGCTGCCCGGGATTGAACGATTTCCACTTCGTTGATTTCGTTTTTGGGTGAGGGACACCAGGCTAGAGATCAGTACTCTAAGTGAGGGTGGAAATTTGATTCATTTTATGACTTTACTTTACTATACTTTAGTACTGATAATACATACTTTAGGCTAAACATTATAAATATGCATATTGACTGAAAAGTGATACTGTTGGAAAGGCAAACAACATGACACTTGTATTTATGTCAGTTTTCCAACTAATGAAGTGGAGACTAAGATAGTTTTTTTGTGTTGTTTTTTTTTTGTAATTGTATTTTCATTATGATCGTTAAAGACTGTTTGGTTAATTTCATTTATGTATGTTTACACTAGGTCCTAAAGAAATTTCTAATTGTTGTTGTATCAGACGTTCCAACCCCTGGAACTCAAAATTTGGGAGACTAGAGGTACACTGGTAAAGGATACCCCCTCTCCCGAAATGTTGAAAATCTAAATTTTCTTACATGCATGTATTTCATTGATAGCATTTAACAGTGATCATTACAGGTGTCAAGAATGCTCAGAAGGCCATTTACGAAACAAAAAAGCAACTATTAGCTGAATTTTTTTGTTCTTTTTTTGTAAATTGGGGAGAATTTGATAAAATTCTTGACTGGTAAAATTTGTATTAAATAACTTCATAACAAGGCTTTTTTTCAGATGATTTTGTGAGAAGGCAAGAATAATATGGCAGGGCCAGCTAGATCAACAATTGAAGCAATAGAGCAAGAAGAACAAAAAAGGTTACTTTCTTTTTTATATACCCAATAAGCTATTTTATATTAAATATTAATTTGGAATTGCTTGCTTTGTATCTTTAAAACATTAAATGCTTGCGGTACACCAAGTAGATATTGTATTTTTGAAATGATTGAAGCGACACAATTGAAATGTTGACATTCTCAACAAAAACAACAGTTCTTTTTAGAACTATCTACATAGTGTACCCCAAAGCATTTAATACATTATTACTTCGCCATGTAAACCTTCAAACAATGTATTTCAAATGTTAATGATTTGAGAATTTGAATGTGAAATTATGTTCCTAGCCAGCAGTTGCATAACTACAGTAATACATTTAACTACAGTAATACATTTAACTACAGTAATACATTTTCTGTACAATTGTTGGGTTTATATATTTTCTTACCCTTTGTATCTTTTTTTGTTTAATACTAATAACAGATAATAGCCCATGGTGACTTTATAGAGTACTACAGTGTCGCGTCACCATACCACGTGATACTACTCTGTTGCTATCGGCGACACAAAATGCGTTCAACCAACGCCATTTTCTCCACTGACAAACCTTTGATCCCAATTTCTAACGTAATTATTAATAAGTTGTATCTTAATTTTTCTTTGTAAATGTTAATTGATGATTAAATGTGTGTTCGATAACTAATATCATGCAAGCTTTTTGTTATTTTAGTACATTTTGATGGTAAATTGTTAGGTTTTAAAATGCCTATTCCAGAAAGCCTATTCTAAACGATTAGGATTACGAAGTCATTCAGGCGTAATGAACGGTAACCAACGTCCAGAGGGAGCCACCTGGTGTTGTGACGACACAACTGTGGTACTCTATGCAGCGATTGAATTGAATACTGATGCTTTGCATGGACACTAAAATTAGTTATAAATTACAATTTATGAATTTTTACTAAATTTGTAAAACATTTGTTTTAATCATCTTTAAACTATTAATTGCAGAAGAGAAGCTATCAGAGAAGAACTTCGTCAGAAGTTAGAGCTTGAGGAAAAAGCTCATAAAATTGTAGAAAGACTTTTAGACAATCAAGATGAGCAATTTTTAATTGATTGTGTAAGTAATTAATTCAGTGTCAAATATTAACATTGAATGCCAATCTTAGTTTTAGGCAAGTCGATTGGCTGAGTTGGTGAGGCAGGGGCCCTGCAATCTACAGCCATAATATTAGGGCTGGTTCAGATGGTGCACTCCGCTGTTGCTCTGGTGGTGAAACAAGTCCTCTCGCATATGTATTATGGATGAGAAAAACAGTTTGGTTATTCTTCTGAGCAACACTTACTCAGTTGAACTTACTGTGTAACTTGGGTAGTTTGACCAAGGAAAATGTTACTTACACTGTTCAGACTGGATTTAAAAAAAATATATTTAATCTGTTAAATTTGTTTGAATTAATTTAATTTATTCAATTCAATTATTTAATTAATTTAGTCAATGTATTCAATTTATTACATTTAATTCAATTAATTAATTTAAAATAATAATTTATTTCAGCAATTTTTTTTTGAGAGGGTGAACCAATCAGCCAGAGTTGACATCTAATTTCCAGATTGTACCATTCAAATGTTTAATTTTTTGGGTTTATTTTTTACAGTCCAGATTCATCCTGCCTGATCATTACAAAGATGTTGTTGAGGAGCGAGCGATAGCTAAGCAGTGTGGTTATCCCACATGTGACAAAACTTTAGGACCTCCACCAAAGCAAAAATACCACATATCTATGAAATCTAACAAAGTGTATGACATAACAGACAGAAAGGTAAGTGTATATTGTGAGTTTGGCTGTTCAACATTTGGAGAAGACTCTCTCAGACTGTAAAATTGAATTTACAGAGCAATGTTGCCCAACAAAATGATTGACCTCTTCCCAGACGCGTTCAAACTTTTCCAACATGGCACCATCACTGGTCGATAGATTGTATGTAATCTTTACCACTGGATGTGCCCTTGATGCTAAGTTGAAGTATACTGAAATTATATAAGATATCAGATTGCATTATCAGATTGTATTATCCTAATGGGTGTTCCTGATGCTCATTAATTTTTACTTTTCTTGTTCTCAAATCATTTTTATATTGTTTGTGCATGTTGAGCATTGAATAAATTCAATCAATTATAATTATTGTTAATATTTCTTATGATATAATATGCAATTATCTAAAAAGTATGCTGTATTTACTTTATGAGATACGCCTCCTTTTCCTCTCCTTAAAAAAAAGAAGAATTATATGTATACTTTGCGTTGTATTTTTTATTATTTCAGCAATGTTAAGTTAGGATTTTTGTTTGTTGTACAGTTTTGTCATCATCTTTTTAGTTGTTATTGTATATTCCTGATGTATTTTTTGCTTGTGGTCTAGTTTTAAATTCATTCTTGATGTTTTTTTGTCCTGCCAAGGAAAATAATTTTCATTTTAAACTCATGATGAATAAAGAGATCTATGTCTATGTCTATCTACTGTATCTTCCCATCTTCCTTTCACTTTTCTTTATCAAATGTTTACACTTGCAGTATGTTAACATTATACTTTGTTTCAAGGGGACCACATGCCTTTCTTCTGTTCTCTACAGACATTCTTAACCCACATGGTTTTTTTTTTGACGTCTAGTGTTTTTGCAGTAATACATGTTACAAGTCATCGAAGTATTATGCAGCACAAATCTCTTCTGTTCCTTTATGGATGAGAGATAAAGACGAGTGAGTTCATCTTCTTACTTTTATAACTAGAATTGTTTCTAATGACATATCATTAGGGAATTAGTTTGATTGTTATAGAAAAACACAGTGATAGGTGGTTCATTAATAAAAAAAAATCCTGGTTGACCTATCCGGGCAAACCATGTTGTAAAAATTATATATTTCTTAGTTTCCATTGTATAATTTTAAAATTATTAATATTTTTAGATAGAAATTAATTTGTGTAAAATGTAGGGCATTTATTTTGTAATGGAAGTTAAGAGCATAACAATGACAATGATGACGACACAACAGTGATTTGAGTGGTGGCGACGATGATAAAAAGTTCATGTTCATTACCATAAAAGGTTACTTTCTAAAATATATAATGTATCTTTAGGCAAACATTATGGGCATCTTCGGTCTCAGTTGCATGCTGTTAATAAAACATTTTTTAAGATGTCAAATTAAATGTTTCTTTTTATTATATAGACCAAACCTCATAAAACTCCTGGGTTCTGTGGAATTGAGTAACACTAGCTTACCTGGGCAGGCTGGTTCTGGAGAGGAAGTCATTCTTGTAGATGGGATTGGTCCAGCTAGTATGGAGTATGTGTCCGGCATGGATGAGAGCAAACCGGACCAAGCTGAAGTGAGCGATGATATTATGTCATTGAATTTTTTCCGCGATGAAAATGAGCATTTTGAAGAACTTGGAAAAGATAATGAAAAACTAGATGAAGATGAGGAGGATGAAAATACGGTTTCTAAAGATGAAATGATAGAGGAAACCAAAGATGTGAGAAATGTTGATTCCAAAATTGCAACTAAAACTGATACGATTAAAACTGTGCAAGAAAAGCATAATAAAAATATACATCATGAAGATTTAAAAGCAAAAAATCAGGAACCTAAAATTTTGAACATACTTCAACCAATAACAGAATCTCTAAAAGAGTGGAGAACAAAAAGAACATTAGAGTTCCTCAACAAAAGTTGCTATGAACATTATGATTCAAACAAACCCAGTGGCACAGCAACTAAAACTATGGAAAGCACAAATCAAGGTAATGATGTGAATCCTGTAGAAACCACAGGAAATGTTGAAGATAGAAAGAGAGGGGTTTCAGAGTCAACAAGAATGGAAAGTCAAAAGGTGGGATCACTCACTGAGCAGAAAATGCAGGCAATGGAGGAAGAAGCCTATAGGTTAAGAGTAGAGAGCTTATTCTATGGTGAAGAGTCAAAGCAACTGGCAGGCAAAAATAAGAAGGATGTGAAAGAGGTAAACATACATACATTGTATCATTTATATATTGCTATTACTTGAATATCAGAGCGCTTTTTGCTTTTTTTGGTATTTTTTAACTAATATACTGTGGTGATGAAATACATCTAATAGAAGAAAACCAGAAAGTGAAAAAAAAATAAAACAATGCAGATGAAATCAAACACCACCACACCATTCACCAGCAATTTAAGGTGCAAGGCCCGCAGGACAGTGTTCGCAAATGCTTGATTGGCATCTAGTCCTAGTCAATTCCTAATCACAAGGAAACAATAAACAACAACAACAACAACAACAACATTCTTTTAGATATTGTAATGGAGGCTGAAATGTGAATGTTGCGTGGAAATTTATTCCAGTAATGTGATGACATAAGAAGATGTCTGTCGATGTGAAGTTGTGTGTGAGTTGACTGGTGGTGGACAATTCTTAAGTAGAGTGTTGAGAAAACCTGATCTAAGCCCTGTGCGTCTTGAGGAATGCATGACAGGTAGTTGATTTGAAGTCATTCCATTATTGAGAAATTTAGCAAAGCAAAGAAATTAATTTGCCTACTTAATCTCAATGTACACACAGATCAAGACAGCTGGTGATCCTACAGGCAGATACATCGGTGGAAAAAAGGAGCACCCACACCCCCTTTCAGTTTGGGGCAGCGATTGAGGTTCTGCTTCTCAACCTGAAGGTCCAAGGTTCAATCCCTTGCTGTACATTTAACTTGTGTCCTAGGCAAGATACTTATACCTACGGTTGTCTCTCTCCACCCAGGACTACAAGTGGGTACCTGGTAGGTCCAAACCAGGGTTGCCAGATAGTCTTTACGGCCAAACACGCCATCTCACGGCCCAATTTTTTTTTTTGATATTGTCTAAAATTCGGCCAGATTCTAATCAGATATCGGCAGTGGGAGCACTGTAGATAATATAATAGTGGATACAGTAATCATTTAAAATACAAGACATTACCTGGCAATCAGTAGTTATTTGTTTGAAATGGAAGAAATCAAAAAGACAGAAATTAACATTAATCTTTTATTGTTTATTGTTCTTATAAATTAATCACCACAAGTTAAATGCCCAGATACAGCATTATTAAATTACACTCTTTATTTGTTAGAATATACGCCTATTTGAAATCACATAAGATTGATCTCATTTAGCTCATCTTAGAGATTGTAAGCTTATTTTTTATTTATAAATAACGTAACTAATTATACTGTAGTTCATCATTATCAATAATTTAAAGGGCCTGTTATCGAATATTCATCTGTATTTACTCTCTTTAATAAGAATTGAAATTACATTTAGAATGAAAATTACATTTAGGATCAAACCAGTGATGGATAATACAAAGCTATGAAAACTGTAATGCTGGAAATATAACTTTTATCTAAATTCGCTTCTGTTGCGGGACTTAAGACAATAAATAGATATCGCTATCAGCATCATCCCCTTCGTGATTCTCATACAAACATCTCGAGATAAACACCTCCAACATATAAGGAGCGCCTTTGAAGTCTCTGCAACACTTTCCTTTAAATTTGAGGTGTGATCGGATGCGAATAATCACATCATGCATTTCAGCTCCAAGTCGGTTTCAGGTCTTCGTCTTCACATTTGTCACAGTTGAAAATACTCGCTCAACTACAGCATTGCTCATTGGAGTAGTAGTGGACCCATGGCATTCTTGAACTTGATAATTCCAGCCCAAAATGATGCAGAATGTTTTGGAATCCTGCCACTAAACTTCTCCGTCCAAGGCACGTGAGCAAGTCTTCTGGACTGCTCCTGGATTACATCACCCTTTGCAGCTCTTAGATGAGGAAGCGGTAGGTCATCAAAGGATACTCGATCAAACTGACTTACCACTTTTCGAGGAGCAAAGGCACTCAGTCCTTTAAACATTTCTACGGATCCGGGTAACCTCTTTTCTACCTCATTTAAGGCCTCAGTTAAAAGACTGGCACAACGTACTCGTATCTTGTGTGCCTTGTCCCAAGAAGCAGCAGAGCATTGTTGGTTGTCAGGGAACACATTTAACTCTATAAATTTGGCAGCATAATCAATCCAGATCCAGAGGCAATTGTTCCCTGTTCTTAAGGGTTCTTCCTTGTAGACTTCTGTGGTGTAGGACTAACTCGTTTTTCAGACCCCCTGTGTCAGCATCTGTTGATTGAAGCAACAAGTTTACTCTTTCAAATTCTGTGAAGATAGGTGACTCAAAGTGAAAATATATATATCAGGTTAACCGGATCTGATAGCATGCCCAGTATTTCTCTTGCTTCATATCTGAAAGATGCGTCTGCTGTTTGGACATTGACAGAATAATGGGCTTTTACTGTAGTTCCTACCAGTTTACTAAGATAGTATATAGCACTTTACCTCCTACCAGCCAACGTGTTCATGAATGTGTCTGAAATGGAAGAGGATTTCCCTTTCTTTCATCATTGGGGTCCATCATGCGGAATAGGTCACATCTGACACAATCAGATCATTGTAAACCAAAATATCTTATGATCTCGTTCAGTTTTGCAAAAAGCTCACATCCTGTTGCCCCAATAATTAGTTGAAGACTGCAGAATTCGGTGACAACTTTTAAACTGGCATCGCAAAAGTATCATAGAACAACACAAATGTGTTTATCCGAGGCCACGTCTGTCGCTTCATCGATAAGTACAGAGAAATGCTTTCCATTTGCATCTAACCGAAGTTCCTCTTTAAGCGTTGAGGCAACCACTTGAGAAATAAATTTACTGCACTAGTGCCGGGAACACTTCCCTTGCCGTTCCTTTTGATAATCTCTCCAATATGATCTATACTTAAAGTTGAACAATGGCAACATATAGACACGGCAATCTGTAACTCTGCACGCTTGACGTCTTCATTTTGCTGCCTTCTTTAAATGACCATATGCAGTGCTCTACAATTAGCTGATGCAGCTACTGTGCTCATATGCCCCTTAGACTTTTCGTGGTCTGCTAAACAAGATATTTTAGGAGCAACATTTGACATTTGCAAAAAGCATTCTCAGTCCCATCAGAGGCCTGGTCTACCCACATGTATTTCTCTTCCCATGATTTGTTATATTTCCGGCCAATAACATACCGCCCTTTCCATTTGGAAGCCATGGTTGCATATGTGTGCTCCGGATATGGTAATGGTACGAGACTTCTATGCCTGCGAAACTGTACTTTGGTCAGTATGGACGCAATATTTAACACCTGCTTAATACTAGTAGAGTCGATTTATGCAGTCTTGCTTATTGGCCTACGGTATATGCATGTGGTACTATTTGTTATTTATTCTTTTTCGGGCAATTATTATTATTATTATTATTATTATATTAATAATAATAAAATATTATAAAATTTAATATTATTATTATTACCATCATCATCATCATCATCATCATCATTACCACCATAATCATCATCATTATTATTATTATTAAAGCAGTCACACAGTGCTTAACAGTTTAAGTGGGCAATAATAAATTAATGTATTGGCCGCAATGTATTAAAAAAAGAGTTAACCTTTTGTAAATTCGGCCAAATATAGTTTGGCTGTAACTTTTTATACGTTACGGCCAGGCGAATTTTTATACGGCCATATTTGAGGAATCTGGCTGTCAGAAAGGCCAAATGGCAACCCTGGTTCAAACACAAAATGCGTTGATCTCACCTGGGAGCTGAGTATGTGCTTGATCCAATGACCAGGGGTAGTACTGTATTATGTAAAGCACTTAGAAACCCTTTTGGCATCAAGCGCTATACAAGCAATTCTCACAAAGATTACAAGACTCCCAATCCTAATTATTTTAGTATTGCATGATTTTGTATAATACTTTAACAGAACGTTACTGATGACAAACCCATCGCAATGCCGTATGTGGATTCTCAGTCCCAGATGTCCATTCGGCGGAAAATCCTGTTGGACAGATTGAACAGAGCGTAAGTCACTTGTAATGGAGAAAGTATAATTAAACTGAATTTATTTTACAGTATTGAAGTAAATACTTAACATATGTGGCAAAGACAAGCCAAACCAGTCACTTGTCACAAGTCCTGTTTCAGAGATAATGGCCAAAACATGCTGGAATGTCAACATTTTGGAAATCTATTTTATTGCACTAAACTAAACTTTATATATCAATACATCATGCTATGCTGTTATTTTCCCATTTCTAATGTTAAAACAATAATTTTTGATGATTTGGTATGATTTCTGCTTAAGAAATGCTCAAAATCATTAACTTTGAAGGCTGATTTCTCAAATATTGTTCTTTAAACAGCTGTATGTTCAAACTCCTGTAACGTCGTAACAAAATGTTGGATTTAAATGATACTTTTACCACTTTATAGCTCTCATTTTTTGTTTAATCCTGTATTAATAAATAAAAGTCTATTTTTGTGATGAGTGAATGGTTTGGCTGGTCTTTGCCACATATTGAAATTTACTCAATATTCAAGCTTCTGGTATTTTTAAAACATACGCACACCCCTTGGTATAAGACCAGCATAAAAGTTTACCCAATTATAATATGTGAAATGAATGAACGAATAAATGTGTGGATGGATGGACAGATGGATGAAAGTTTGTTTTGTTTTCTCACCTCCATATATTAAAGTTTGTTAAAACATTATTTTTTTATTTTTGTAAACTTTATATTTCTGTGTTTATTTCAACAACAAAAAATCAAAACAAAATGTATAATTGTAATTGACTTTATTGCTTTTGTCATATTTCCACATAATTAATATGTTTTAATGCTTTCAGTTTCTCAGAATTTCTTGGTCCTTTGCATCTTTCAATACGAGAGTTTTCATCTGATCTTAATTGTCTAGTCCAGACATTTCATCTTGGTAACAAAAACATGACCTTTAAGCCAATTGGTTGGACGCTGCTAGCTGTAATCATACTTATAATGTAAGTGATTTTTTATTTTCCTGGAAAATACTATATACATTAATATTATATACCTAATATATTTATATGTAAATGTTACACAAATGATTTCATTGGTATTATTTTCATTTTTTGCTAGTATATTTCAATTTTTAAAATTTAATTTTACCTTTTTTATTGATTTAGATACTATGTACCAACATGTTTTGAATCTACAGAAGATTAAATGTTTTCTTTTGTTTGTATTTTAAGTACCTATTGGTGTTTTTAGCTCAAATGTATATATGTATATGTATGTCTCTTCTTTTTACCTAAGTGTTGATATGGTGTATAACTAATATCAAAGTTGTATCTTTACTGGCACTACCTTACTTTATGCAGCTGTTTCGGATCTAGGATTAGTCTAATCATTGTTTCCAGGGTTGGATTCAGTAGTGTTCTGCTGATGGAGCCAATTGAGGACCTATGATTCTAGAAGATATGGTTTGAGGGTTCCAGAGAGCATTGCCCATAGAACCTTTGGCATTCTAGCCATTTCACCCATATAATAATCTCTTATAAAGATAATTTCATGTTTGGTTATACTATAGCAGCTGGTAGACCAAGCATCCCTTTCAAGGTGGTGTGGCAGTCCATAATGGAGCATTTGGTATTTAATTGGGTATGGTAGGAATATTATTGGAAACGGTGGGACAGTCATATACAGTAAGAGAAGGAATAGGAAAACAATGTGGTTGCTTGTTACAAGACATAACTAGATTTGAACTCGTCACTGAGGACGAGTTAGGTGATCCGCCGTACTTTGACCCACGAGGAAGTGTGCGCGTGGCGGATTGAACAATAATTAAATGCTGATAATGGCAAAATATGCTAATTTAGTTTGTTAAAAAAGAATTTTGAGCATTTTAAAAGATTTACTCATGTGTACGCGCACGTCATGATGCACGTGCGCATCTTAATGTCACTGTTGTCTTTTGATATGAGATATATATGTATCAACTTTCATTGACAAACGCCTGTTGGTGAAGGAGTAATGATCATTCATAGTATTTATCATATAAAAATTCAGTTATTTTTACTTCAGGATGGCAATATGGTGACGTCACAATGTCCGATCTGCTATTATGATATATAAAATCATATCTAAAACTCATGTGCTTTTAGAATATGTAATAAAAATTGGGGGTCACCTTTCATCCTAAGGAGCTATATTTGATTATAAATAGGCATAATTTTAAGCATATGTAATATTTGACGCAAGCGTACGCGCACGTTAAGACGCGCAAACAACAAAGTAAGATACCTAACATTACACCTTGACCTGAAGTATAAGCCCATTTAATATTATTCAGAAATGACGAATGGTTAAGATGATATGACGTCATCAACGTTTTGAAAAAAGAAATATAAATTTTTTCTTGTGTTTAAATTCAGATGGCAATATGATGACGTCACAATGTCCGATCAGCTATTATGATATATAAAATCACATCTATAGCTCATGTGCTTTCAGAATATGTAATAAAAATTAGGGGTCACCTTTCATCCTAAGGAGCTATAACTGATTTAAAAAAAGATATGATACAAAGCATATATTAATTTTGACGCACGCGAACGCTCGCGTTATACGCGCGCACAAAAATATAATGTACATAACATTTACCCATGACCTGAAGTTTATACCCACTAAATATGATTCAGAAATCACGACTGATTAAGGTGATTATGGGGTCATCAAAGGCTGGACGAAAGAAAGTTGAG